CAGAAAGCAATATCATTATAATGGCATAAAAATATCAGGGACATTCTGAATACAAGTATCATGACAATAGCAAACCCAATGAAAATACTGTCCAACTATTCTTCTGTGTATTTTCTGTGGTCCATTTTTATATTACTAAGCACAGCCAATGATTCATGGAAAAGGACACTTCTGAAACTTGACCCACTGTTGACATCCTTGTCTTCTACATCCCTAAACCAAATATCCTAAGTAGACGAAGACTAGTTGTCTTTTTTTGAAACTGCTGTACATATTTATTTCCAAAACTTGTTTTGCAGTTTAAAGGGGCACATTGCAAACTTCTTGGTATGCAGATGGAAAGGTTGTGTATAGGATGCTGACTAAATCTGCACAATGCTATCAAAGCGTTAGTTTTATTCTGAAGTCATCCATTATAAATAAATAGCAAATGTGATTATTTTAATGCTCAGGTGAACTGCTAACCAAGTTTACCTCAAAGTCCATACTTAAGATGTAATCATATTTATGCATGGTCTTTTTGTTAATATATTAATTATCAGTCACAGAGTAAATGTTCAAGTGTTTTGTACAAAAGCTATACATGAGGTCTGTACCCTCAGCAAATATCCAATGAGTAGCCTTGAAGAGAAATGATCATCAGTAACAGGGCTAAAATACAGTACCTTACATCTCTCTTTGACTGCTTTCTATTACTTACTAAGTGTCAATAGAGTCCTGCAATAGCAGGCTACAGTAGGAAATAGTAAAGATGTTTAGCAAACATAGCTATCTCGCCTCACTAGAAGTTTAAGGGTATAATTCAATTGTTTTCTTAAATAAATGTATATAGTTTTTCCAGCCACTAAGTTGCACTAAGTCAAGTTGAACTGTCCCTTTTATTTTCCTTTTTTGCTATAACTATGCCCAAAACAACCTCCCAAAACCCAACAACAAAACCATTGAGCAATTTTGATTAGGGATAAACAAGGGGGGGCCTTTAACCCAAGGTAGGGTTTTAATGTTTTGATTTTGTGTTAGACCAAAACTTTTTCCTGAAGGCTTAAGAAAATTAAGAGACAGAAAGAGATTTTTCCTCCTAACCACCAAAGCACAAAAAATATGGTTAGACAACTGGCTTGAGGTAGAAGTTCAGTTTAATTGTTCTCTGTACTAGAAGAGCATCACAATTTTGCAGCATATTTTTCCTTTAATCTTTCCAGATTTGCTGTGAGTCTAAAATGTTTACATTTTCCTGACATATATAGCTCCTCAAGAGTCAGACTAATGGAGGTAAGAGAGGAATTTGGTGTGACATAGTGTACAGATAGAGAACATTAGTCGCAATTAAGCCTCTTGATCGAATACTTATATTAATTTTGAGGGGCTGCTGCATAAAAGATTTCTACAAGTTCCAAAACAAACAGATGAAAGACAGGCAAAGTCTTTACCAGTATGCACCTTTTTTTAAATGAAAAGCCATCAAGAACATGGAAGACCTTGATCATATTATGTCAGAAGAAACTATATTTGGAAGAAAATAGAAATCAATTATTTATTTGCCAATTCCCCCTGATGGAAGACCATATTATACACTAAGTATCCCAAATGTCATGCACATTAATAATTATACTGACAGGAGTCTTCCTCCTGGTGAGTCTGAGAACAATTGCTGTTTAAAAAACTATGTTAACATATTAAAAAAGCAGGAAAATTGATGTGCCTGAAGTTGTTAATATTTTGCCTCATTTTTGTGCCGGAAAATACTGAGCTCCAACACTAGTCATGCAATAATTTGTTGAAAATTCTAACTGCTAAACTTAGTTCAGCTAAGATCCAGGTGTTAGATTTAATGAGAATCCAAATCTTTACCTGCAAATTGCACGTTTCCTTAAGTTTTACATGAGGATAAGTTCCCAAAAGCATGTGAACCACTTGTGCAATTACTTCCATTTGATTTACTTTTGGATTTATATTGTGTGAACCACAGTCCCAGACCTCATGTAAGAACAGGAAAAACATTAGTGGGCCAGACAGCATGAGAACTTGGAACATCCCCTGCCTGTCCAAACCAATAAAGATAGAAGCATAATGTTCTTGATTGGTACATGCTACTTCAAAATCAGTGCAGGAACAATTAAATTTTAAAAAATGGATTGTCAGTACTTCTTCTAAGGCAATACAATGTTGACTTTTGAATCCATGTTACATACTGTTCTTGACTTTTTGTATTAATTCTTAAGTGTAAAAGATTTTAAGCTAATGTTATTATCTGTAAGTAACAGAAAATGTTATTTGAATTGAACCTTTTGACGTAACTTGAGAGATATTTTAATAACAGTTTTGAAGATTAATTTTTAAATTTGCAACTTGGAGTATTTGCTCTTATCTGGCCCTAGCTTGCCAGTGAACAAACCCTGTTATTAAAATAGGTCTCCATCAGTTAAGCTAAATAATGTAAACTTTTTTTAGGGGAGAGGCCTGATTCAATGACTTTCATGTCATTGCCCTGAAATGATACAAGTATAAGTGTTATATATTATATTTATACGATATCTTTGTACATTGTTTCTAAAAAAAAGATAGTAGTTATTTGGTTTTGCTTTATTCCTTGCCTCTTGCTCTTGATGTAGTGATATCACCTTAAGGTGAGAACACTGATCTTTTGTTGCATTTATGTCTTTTTCTGCAATGTGTGCGTGCAGTTTCGACAAAATAATTTAAATATACCGTCATTAAAATGCTGCATACTGATCTGACATGCACTGTGAAAAAGTGTTACTGACAATTTGTCTAAAAGTTTTCTGAGGTCTGAGCCAATTTTAATCTCATTTGCTGAAGTGTAAATATATAATTTTACTAAGAATATAACTGCCCTTTGGTCTGCTACTGAGATCTCCTCATTTCCTCAATTTTCTTTTATTATTAGAGCAAATTAAACGTTTCAGTAATATTTCATCCCCAAAATCCCTAATGTCTACTTTGTGGAAGTGTTATGTCATTTGAAAAACCATAGGAACCTAGAGTGAAGATGCAACATGTTTCAGCAAATACTGGTGGGCTGAAGTTTTATAGATGTCTTCCTTGCAAATATAAATAATAATCAGCTGGTTTATGTGCCATGAATACTTTGAAACTATTCTGACCATATATCAGAGCTAATCATTCTATGTTTCTGTTTTGAAACAGGTAACTATGAACTCAGTTTCTTTAGATTAGGTGGTCAAATTAATGAGTTTTGGTTTCCTCACTTGAACTACTCTGTGAGCCATCAGAGTTTCTGCAGACACTTCTGTAGTCCTTATTGGTGCATGTGGGGTGCAGTGCCATCTTGGTACTAGCACTAAAATTTTATGCTTTCCCGGGGCTGTGCATTTAAAAAATAGTTTGCTATATATCCATAGCTAAAGCATATATGAAGCGTTACAAGTCTAACTGTACTTCTAAACCTTTTCACCACATTTCTGAAAATAAGTGTGGCTGATTTTGGCTGCATTAGCTCATCTCTAGAAAATACATTCAGTGTGTAATATGATTTGTCTTGTGTTAGTAGGTGTAAAACTTACAAAGCAATTATTTCATTTTAAAAGGGCATGTAGTGGTAGGACAGTGGGGAATGGTTTTAAACTGAAAGCAGGTGGAGTTAGATTAGACACAAGGAAGAAATTCTTTACTGTGAGGGTGGTAAGGCACAGGAATAGGTGGCTCAGAGAAGTGGTGGATGCCCCATTCCTAGAAGTGTTCAAGGCCAGGTTGGATGGAGCTCTGAGCAACTTGGTCTGGTGGAAGTTGTGCCTGGTCTAGATGATCTTTAAATTTCCTTCCAACACAAACCATTCTATGATTCTGTGATTGTATAATTCATTGGATTGTGTATATTTTTATACACACACACACACACACACACACACACACATGCTCTCTCTCACCTCCTTTGTATTGCAAATATTCTATTTTGTTTTCACCAAAACAAGATGGTTTCTTCATTTTGCATGTACTGAACTAAGAATATCTACTGGAAAAGATTAAGGAAGGTTGACTGACTTTTTTTTTTTTTATTACCTGTTATTGTTTTAAAAGGAATCTACATTCTGGGATGACATTTCAAATTACTTTTCTGTCATCCAGTCATACATATATACAGCCACTCTGTGTACATTTGTTTATGAAACAATGCTTAAATGCCAGTTTAATGATCAGAATTTCATTCATGCAAACCTGAATATAGAGTATGACTACTCTTCTGGTAAAGGCCATTTGAAAACTAGCTTTTACATAAGTAATTATTTGGCATAATACAAATATAGTCCAATGAACCGAAAAAGGAACAGAGGAGTTGTGTCTTTTACTTTCGCAGTGAATGACTTTAGTCTTGCTCTCTTCCTGATGGCAAATTGCTCTGCAACTAGTCAGGCTATATAAAATAATAACTTCTGCTGAATTTTGTTCACTTTTACTCTAACTAAATAGTGCCTTAGAGTATAAATGAGAAACAGTTCAATGATGCTGCTGTTGAATTAATGCATTTGAATTAGGTATCATCATATTTTGAATGCTGACAAATTCTAAGTTTTTGAAGTATTGGAAAACATTGAATTATTGAAGGTCACTGTAAAAATCCAGCACTTATGTGGAAAGTCTGGTGCTGGTGAAATGGTCAATTTTGTTGCTTGTGATTTATACCTTTTCAGCTTGATTTTATGCAGAGCATTAAATATTCTTAAGCAGAATTCTTGAGTTAACTATCTCTACTAGGAGCTTACAGTTGCAATGAACTTCTTCTAGTTGTGTGGAAAGAGAGTCTGATGGGAAAACTTGATAGTATCATAAAGTTAGCAGTTTCAGTTTTGAGTTAAAAAACCCCAACATTCTGTTTGTTTTATTAGTTTATATGTTACATAAAATTATATATGCAGTTATATGTATATATGTTCTTTTATTATATGTTATTTTATTAATTGGATGCAGTGGTCATGGTGTTTCTTTCATGTTGCTTTAACTGTGTGGTGCTGATTTTGCAGCTGGATGAAGAAGCCTCGATGTGGTGTGCCTGACCAAACAAGAGGTAGCTCAAAATTTAACATTCGTCGGAAACGCTACGCGTTAACAGGACAGAAATGGCAGCACAAACATATCACTTACAGGTACTAAAGTAATTCATATAGGTACATAAATGTCACTAGTAGTGATAACTTTTAACTTAAATATAAATTCTCAAATGCTTTTCAACATTTTGAGTTTATTATTAACATATAAAAATGCTAATTTGGATACCTTTTATAAGCATGTATGTGCTACATAAGAATGAAGTTATTTTCTTGATTAAAAATGCATGTATTTAGTAGCTGGCAAATTCTCTGAAGCTTACAACATCAGTTTAACACCCAGTGTGTCCTTAACCTTACCTTTGAACTCTCTTGACAGCTTCTCAGGGAATATTGCTCCAAAGCTAGTAGTGCTGTAATGAAACACAACTTACCTTTGAACTCTCTTGACAACTTCTCAGGGAATATTGCTCTAAAGCTAGTAGTGCTGTAATGAAACACAGAAGTATGTAAAGTAACTTATTGAAAGGAGTGCCTACAGGTCTGTTCTAGGTACAAAGATATTTGATTATAATTTGATGAGTCACTGGCCCAACCATTTCCTGCCTACATGATGATGGGCACAGCGATGTGCGCGGGGGTGTACATCTGTATAACTCTTGTGTCTGGCATGTAGCTTGCACAGCGTGTTGCCTGCTGTCAAAACTGAGCTTTTCAGGGAAAGTTAGATGCAAACTGTGCTTGCTAGAGCTCTGTCAACCAAAGAAAGTGTCATATAAAATCTATAATTTGTCCACAAACCAAGAATTCCAGTACAGCCTATCTGAAAATTTACACAGCCTCATTTAGATTCCTGTAATATCTGACAGGGATAAGTTCTGAGGAATAAAACAGTTTTCAAATTCATTAACTGGTGCTATTATTCATGAGCCCATACAAGTATTGAATTTCTGTTCATAAGCTCTAATGATCATATAGACTGTTCTCCATACCATGGTGAAGAGATAGTTACATTACTAACTCTGTGTCAGTACTATAGCTTATGACTGAATTGGAAAATTCTATTTTAAGACAATACACAGTGATACAACATTAAGCAATAGAGAACTGACTGCCTAGAGATTAGTATGTTGCATTGGCTGGAGTCCTTTACTGTTAATGTAAATGCAATACATAGCTAGTTAGAAGAAGAATCCCCCCCTCCAGCACTCTACATTTATCTGCATTGTAGAATTGGAAGGTAGCATGTGCACACATGTGAGAAGGCATGCATGGTTATCTACTAATATGTGTGGGTTTCTATCACTCTAATTTGTACAGAGTCTGATTATTTTATTACAGATTTTTTAACAACAGTCTAAATCCTACCACTTGTATATCTTCTGAACTGTCACACTAGGCATTAATCAAAATAACAAACTAGGGTGCCCAGTATTAAACTAAGTGGCAACTACCTAGTAAACTCTCACTTTGAAGAATTTACTGCAGTTCTTTACCTTTTGCCTTCCCTCTTCTAAAATGTTCATTCTCTCACTTTGACAAGACCTCCAGTCAACCTGAGCATTGAAGTGAAAAAGCCTATAATATTTATTGCAGTGAATTACAGTTCAAAAGACATTTAAAGTAGAACACCCAAATTTGATTAGAATAAAAAAATATAAAATTGATCTTTCTAAATTAGAAAATAACTGAAAGTAAATAAGGAAAAAAGAAAGAAATACAATTCTTTACATGCTTCTCATCACTTGCTTTGTTCTTCCCAACAGTTTCTTGCATACAGGCATAATACTACATAATAACATTTTAACTTGCTTCATTCCCTAAGCTTTTAATCATATCTGTAGTACCATTTGTCTGCTCCATTTTTCTCAGTGCCACTTCTCAGTCTCCTTATAACCTGCAGGTTTCCAGCTGCATTCTGTGCCTTCCTGGCCCATCAAACCTTGTAGTCTGAAGTGTACATGCTAAGCAAGTCTAGTAATTCCTCCACGGGAAGAGCAATTTCTCCCTCATTTCAGTGTGTGCTACATCTTACAACCCCACACCAAACACCTTCAATCTCCCCTCCCTGCAACACTCATCCCCAGAACTTTTCCATACTTTCAACGTGTAATTTTTCAAGCTGAAACAGTTCCACAAAATTTCAAGATGGAGCTTCAGAGAAGAAACTTACAATTATAATTATAATTTATATTAATTATGTCCTTTTTTTTGGCCACATATTACACTTTGAACATTAATTATGTCCTTTTGGCCGCATATTAAATTTTGGATTTAGGTGATATTTATTCTTAGAAAGCAATGTGTGCACAGACAGTTCTTAATTGCAGATTTCCAGTATTGGGAACATCAGCATGTAATGCTGCATTAATTATACTTTCTCTCCCTCAGGGAATTCAGCTTTCTGTTTATTTGAAGTGACATATAGGCTGTTTGTTAGAATTTCTGTTTCCAGTGAAGTTCCACAGCAGTATTATTTCCTGCATCTTTTCTATCTGGTATAATCCGTGTCTGTATATCTTATAAACCTTATTAGTACATATGTTATATACTAAAATTACTTTTACAAGGAGAGAAGCAGAAAGTAAGTATTTACATTTTTTTAGCAGCCAAAAGAATATAGGAGTGAAGGATAACATCTAGAGTACACGAAAATTATAACTCCATTACAGAACAAACTACAAAGATCTTCATGATATAGCCTTAATCCTTCCTTGGTGTTTTAGACCATGTCAGGTTAGATAGCAATCTCTGAACATTGTATACAGTCAAAGGATAAATTTATGAAATCTATTAAGGAATTTTTAAAAATCGTTTGGGATTGTAAAAATTTTTTAAGGGTCTATTTATGAAGTCACATATAATTCTCTCTCAGAAAACAATCAGCTTCTCTTTTGCTAGGGAAGTAAGTCACTCAGTACTTTAAAGAAGGATCAGCAATGTGAATCAGTAAAAAATCAGTTTTGCAGAAATAGAATGTTATTTTTTATATGTCCTTTAAGACAGAGAATTATTGAATACGAAGCCCTCCTCATCAGAATTCTAGGCATACTACTCATAATTTGAACTCCAGCAGTCTGTCATTTGTCAATGGCTCAGTTTATTCAGTCTGCAAAACATTTCTGCAAGTAAACTTGGAGAATGCTCTCTAAAAATCCAAGCTTTGCCTTGAATTATAACCATTACTTAGAAGTCTTAATGATTCAAAATACAACAATAATGTAAAAGTTATTCTGATCTATTTTTTCTGTCTTGAGAAAGAAATAAACCAAATTCAATGGATCAGTGATATGTAATAATTTAATTGGTTCAGGAAACAACTGTAGCTAATCAATGGCTTCATCCCAAACCCACTATAAATAATTTAATCTTTTTTCCTGACTTCAGTGGACAGTGGGTCAAGCCTCAGATTAATGTCTTTTTCCTTTGACAAGTTAGATACATCCTGGCTTTCATCTGTGACAGAAGATGAAAGATTTGGACATGTCTAACTTTATGCTGTTCAATAAATGAATTGATGCTAGCTGGGAGCTACAGTATGCAATGAAAGGTCTTCTATGGCTTATTAATAATTTCTCTGGTCTGAATGGTCCATATTGTGCAGAATATGGAAAAAGAATTTTTCTTGAATATTTGAAATCTGTACTAGAAAGTAAAGAAATACTGGATTAAGACAAATATTTGACACAGAAAACTCTGGAAATGCTTGCTTCAAAGCAGCAAGATTTTTGAGTGCACTACTACAGAGGAATATTTAGAACTCATTCCATGTTAATATTCTATTTTATTTATTTGAAGTTAGTTGGTAGTAAATCATGACATGAGATTACTTAATACATCTTTCCTGTAAAAGCATTTATCTATCAAGTATTTTGCTAATCTTGGTTTTGTATCTTGTCAATTTTTATCTCCTTGTAATGAATGTGAATGATAATATTGCCCATGATAATGAAGGGGCAAGATAATTGTAGATTCTTTTTGCATAGCAGCAGTAGGTTGACTTTTAATGTGGTCACAGAATATCAAAAGTAATAGTTCTGGTTTAGGTTCAGACAAAGGGAGCAGGAGCTATATGAACCAAGATAACATTTTACAGGATAAACATTGTTAGTTTATAGCTACAAAGAATTAGCAAAGTGAGGCTGGAAAGAAGTTGAAGCTAAGAAAACCCACATTGGTGAGAGATTAAGGAAGCAAGCTGTAGAAAGTATTTCTAGAGAAGTGATGGCTCAAAGTGAAATACGTCTTTGACCAGAGGTAATCTATTCATTTCAATGAAAGTAACATCCAGAGTAATCCTTCTTTAGAATTGTTTTTCTAATGTGTGACTTTGCTCCAAGAAATTCTTGGAATGTTTGAGAAAATAGCATTATAGAAATATTTTCCTCATTTATATTTGATTAATATATTTATGTTCTAAAAAAATTAAATATCATCTTGCATTAGAATTCCCTATTAATTCTATTAGTATCCAGTCTAAGCCACACAACAGAGTAGTAAGGTATTGTTGATATTGTACCGTGGATTTGATTGGCAAATGAGCATTGAACCAATTTGAAAACAGTATTTACTATGTGCAGTGGAGAACAGAAGTATCAAAGTCTACAGGCCATGAAGAAGGCTGTCACTGAGTTATTACAACTCTTGTGAAGGCCATTGCTGCTAAGGTAAGCAGTAAAAATAAGCTTTATGCATTTCAAGCTTTGTCTAGCCTTTGCTGAACTGCCTCTTGGGACTATCTTGAGTCAGAAGATACGATTTTATATCAGAATTGTAGCAATTTAAGTGAAAAATTTAATGAGCTCAGGAAATTAAAAAAGGGAACGGTGAAATTTAATGGCAAATACTTAATGTACTGATTTTAAATTTCAGATGACTGATTTTACACAGTCAAGTGAGGTGTATCCTGACAGTCTTTCAAGGCTCCTGAAAATGATGCAGCCACAAATGTCACTGAAACATGGATAATTATTTTAGGATATTTTGGGGAATGAGAGGGAAAGAAAGGAAAGCCCAAAGCTTTTCTGAAATCAATAGGACTCAGAATTTCAGAATAATGGTCTCCAAAACAAGACTCTCCAGGCATCTGTAGAAATAGCAAATCATTGTGAAAAGTGCATATCAGTAGTAAAATCTAGTTTTTCTTGTGCCAGACAGGTATTTTAAAGTTATAATACCAAAGCATCTATCAGGTTGAAAACCATTCAATAATAGCAATAATAAGCACCAAAAAAAAAGTAATTGATTGGTACGTATCTGTGGTTGTCTTAAGAATAACAGCTCTCAAAATTTATACAAAGCATCACTCAGTTTTCTAGTTTGTAGAAAATGACATCAAAGTAAATGTTTCGTTTTATAAATCATCTTTTGTTTGCTAAAATAGTTTTTCTTTGAAAGGAATTATGAGTATATTCTTTTACCGCTTTATAAAGTTGCACTGCCAGTCTGGTCAAGGTCAGCACTAGATCTTTCTCTTGTTTGAACATCTTTTCTGACATGGTCACTAGACTTGGAGATTAGGAAAGTAATTCTTACGAATTACTGAGGGTTTATTGTGATGGCCTTTGTCCTGCTATGGTGCCATCTTGCACTGGGAGTTGTTCAGAGTTGTCATGTCCTCCACTTATTTTTATTTGAGCTCTAATATCTGGACATGTTGATTGTATGATACCCAGTTCCTCTCTTTTTTTGTTACCGGTGACAGTTGCCACTATTTCAGTTGACTGTTGGCTTCAAGATATAGAACAAATTGTAGTAGGAAAGGGGCTCATACAAGACTTTGTTTGCTATTGCAATGATAAATCTAAACTAAAGACTTTTAAAAGATAAGTCCTAGTATCTCTGGTATTTGATAGGTTGTCTATATGTATTGATCTTATTGTACTTCCCCTGTGGAGGTTGAATGTTCAACACCATGAAAGAAATGTAACATAACTTGGATTTCATATGTCTGCATTGGTGGATTATTTTAAGCGAAGCTCCCAGCTGGACAACTTCAACACTTGTGTTGCACAGTACTGGAATTTGTCCATTTAAGATTGATCATGGATTGTATAAAACATATTAATATGGACAATTATTTTCTGTAAATACTCTTATGTTAGAATGGCTATTGATTTTTCTTTTAGAAGATACATTTTTCAGTATAATCTCACCCACTCTGGAATGTTAATTTGGAAGCCAGAAATCTCTCTTGTTTTAATGCAGCATGTATACTTTGAAAACCATTTCTTGACAATGAATCTTGAGATGTAGGATGGTAGTTCAGTAGCTGAATCCCCTGGAAAATGTCTCCTATCATTGATAATCACCTCTAGTTTGTGTGTGCAAAGCTATTACAATGGCTCAATTTTTCATTTGTAATCAATGACTGAAACTTAATTGTGTGCACCAAAAAAGCAAGAAAACATAAAATTTTATGTTTTAAAGTGAGTCAAACCCTTTTAGATCAATTAATTAATCTATTTACCCCAATAAAAATTTCTAGTGTTTTTTTATTTATTTCCTCATTTCACATATAACAGCCAAAGACCTTCCTTTTGTTCTGTTTACATGACCAAAGTGTGACTTTGACCAATTACTAAGATTCCTAAATACAAAAAATAGAAAAACAAAAACCAAACTGTATCATTCAGATTAAACTTTTCAGTTTTGCTAGACATACTCATTTTCTGTAGGAGCCTGTTGGTTCATTTGCTGTATTCATATACACAGCAAGTAACAGAGGCTGTAATTCTTCAACGAGCTGTGCTTCAGGCAATATATGTGCTTTAGAAAGCACAGGGCAGAACTGACTGAGAGCACATTCACCAGCTTTAGAAGTGGTGTTCTTAACATAGCAATAGGTGAACTGTTGTCAGGTTTTTGGGAGTGGCAGTATAAGTGTGCCATTGTGGCATGTTTTGATTTAGTGTCACATGACAGTCAGCTTGTAAAATGCTGTACTTTCTCAAGCAGCACAGATTGAGTAGTTCATGAACATGCTAATTAAAATGCCTCAAAAAAAGTAATTCATAAAGGAGGGAGCTTTCAGTGAGGGATTCTGCAAGGACTTCTAGTTAGTCCAATGTGTCCAGTATTTTTTTAATTACTGTGAAGCAAATAATTATTAAAGACTATCATACAAAGCCCTTGAAATCATGTGACATTTACATCATGCAGGGTAAGGTCATACCTACGGTCAGAGGACTTTTTCTCTCTGACAGCAAGATCAGTACAGCAGTACTTGGTAGTTCTGACAAAGTCAATTTTAAAGGAGCATTAAGAAATTGGAGTGAGTTCAATAAATAACACAGAAATATGTAATAGACTGGAGAAAATGTCTTAAAATGAGAGATATAAAGAGTTTAATATTTTGATTTCATAGAGACAACAAAAAGGTAATGACCTTCCAGTGCAGAAATGTCTTAAATGTCTTTTTATAGGGGGGAAAAATGCTGTTAAAACTCATGTATGTGAAAGGAAAAGCAGAACAAGAACCAATGTTACAAGCCAGGCAGACAAGAATAGGCACAAGTATGTAATGAACGGTTGAGTCATCCTTGGAACAAAAGATTGAGGAAAGCAGTGGATTCTGTACAATATCCTATCTTATAATCTATATTTTTAAGTGGAAATCAAAATAGGTAACTTTATGTTTTCTACATAAACTTATGAAAAAATGTTGTCTATGTGAAGTCAAATCTATAAAATTAGACTTGAAAGATTTGTATCCATTTATATAAACATAAATACCATATAATCAAGCACATTTAGTGCACCAAACAAATCAATAATTCAAGGTTTATTCATGAAAGTGTATGTGCTCTCCTTTGACATGCCATGCTATGTAAACTTGCACATCCCTTACATATACTCTAGAACTATGCAATTTCTGAAATTTGTGCTGGTCATTCAGTCAAGCACATGTCAAATGAACAAAGAGCATCTGTTTGCAGCAGTTTCAGAACAGATGGAAACCTAACAGCGTTTTGGCTGGGCCTATGAATCAAGTGAAAATGATAGAGAAAATTGGATAGATCTGAAATTGATTATTGACATTCTTTTCTTGAATTTGATAATAAAAGCAAATAATGATTTTTTTAAAAAGATGGTTCCCCTATAATTTACTAGCAGTTATGACAGTACACTTCACTCTGATGGACTTTTGCCTTTTTCTTATGTGTACCATTTGAAAAATTTGTGGAGCCTGAAATTTCTGTTTAAATACATATTTCTGAATTAACACATAATTGTCTTCCATAAAATGATTTCTCTGATTTTTTTATACAAGATGTATAGATGTAATCAAACCATAAAAGGGCATCTTAGCCTATATTGCAGTCAAATGTCTTTCTTTCTGATAAGGAATTATCTATCCAGTTACAAATGCATTAATTTTTAAAGCTTTGTGAATACTGGTTGGTGGTCACAGTATGGAGCTCTGTTTTTGTTAATAAACTCACTAAGAAGTTAAAATTTCATGTAACTGAAGACATTTTTCTTTTGATCAGAAAGGACATGCCATTCTTTAGCTGTGACGGATTCTAATTGTGGTCCAGGAGGTAAACAGTCAGTGGTTGATTAATCTGGTTATCCCACTGTTAAGAATTTTTAATTTTAAAATGTTTTTGATCTTCTAAAAATAAGATTTTTGTACTGCTGAGAGTAGCTAGCTAACATGTAATAAGTTCTAGCATAAAGGCTACAGAGATTGACACCGTAATTTTGCAGCAGCTTGTTTAAAAATATGGAACTTAAAATAATTAGGGGAAAATAGATGTTAGCAGTGCTACTTACCACACTGTTCAATTTAATATATATTAATATATATAATGTTTCTCTGTTTCTTTCAGCATAAAGAACGTCACTCCAAAAGTAGGTGATGCTGAAACTCGTAAAGCCATTCGCCGTGCCTTCGATGTGTGGCAGAATGTAACTCCTCTAACATTTGAAGAAGTTCCTTATATTGAATTAGAAAATGGCAAGAGAGACGTGGATATTACAATCATTTTTGCATCAGGGTTTCATGGAGACAGTTCTCCCTTTGATGGGGAGGGAGGATTTTTGGCTCATGCGTATTTCCCTGGGCCAGGAATTGGAGGAGACACTCATTTTGACTCAGATGAGCCATGGACTTTGGGAAATCCCAATCATGATGGTAAGAGAAGATTTAAGTTTAAACAAAATTAATAAATGGCATGAATTTTCAGCTAGCAGAGCTACTTCCATGCTCCCCTGTTCCTAAAGTCACATAGTTTTCTTCCCTCAGTTCTCATTACTTTAGAAATCTCTTCAGCTGATTGGTCTCTTTGAACCTGAGGCAGAAAATTATCCGTCTAAATGTAATGCAGTATGAAAACATGTTTTTCTTGTAAAACACTGAATTCTCATAAGGAAACTTTGTGTTCATTCAAACATTGTACTGTTGAATGTTTACACGAACTACTTTCATTTTGATATTGTTTGACATATAGATCTTGTTTAGCAAAAATATGGAATAATCTTTAGCAGTGATACAAGAAAGATTAATAACAACTGAGGTGTTATTTATGGTGATGCAGTGGCAGTATTTAAAGTCTTAAAGATGCCATTCCAAGAGCAGAGTTAGCGTTTCCCAATAACTTTTGAATGTCTTTCAGAATTGTTGATTCCAATAGTTCTAATTTACTTAAATTGTACATTCCCCATAGTCAAATAAATGACTGCATAGTGCAGTTGACATACCTAAAATTTACCAAATCAAGATTAAATATGCTCTTTAAAGTTACTCTTCACAGAACTATAATATGGTCCTTGCTGAGCTTAAAGTTGATGTGACTAAAATTACTGCCATTATCTAGGAATCCTAATGTAAAACTATGCTTTGCATCTCTGCAGAACAGTATCAAAGATTTTTTGTGTGTAGATATATTCCATGTTTGTTATTGTGACAGATCTTGGTTCCAAGCAGCTGCAGTTGTCCTAGTAGATCTTCCTAAGCCAGTTATATAGAGTGCAAGAGAGTCTCTTTGGCAAACAGTGATGCACAAAAGACAATGCACAGATGCACAAATAGGATGTTTCTGGCATGCAAAATATGTCAGAAATGACAAGAAGTGCAGATCTGTTATATTTCAATGTTGCACTGAATTTGTAAACGATGAAAGCCTATATCTAATTCCTTTCCCTTTCTCACCTGACATCTCCCAAGTAAATTCAGAGCTTTGAATAGAGCAGTATTTGTAGCTTGGAGTTTGCAATAAAGCTCTAAGTTAATATTTCAGGACTATAAATGTAGTATTGTGACTATTCTAATGGAGCAATACTTCTGTGATGCCAGAATCAGTGAAGCAAGAGCAGTGTCCTACACTGTGAAAGCCCTTAGCTGCAGAATGGGTTCAAGAAGCCTTTTTTCTTGTGAAGCAAGCCCTAGATTCTTACTGGATCAAAATCTGTGGTATTGCACTGCTCATATTTGCTCTCTTCACACATTAAGCTCACAGGAGCACCAGTGGGAATCTTCTGTTTGTGCAGTTCAGGTACATAGTCAGTCACAGCATTGTGAGGGTAAATTAAGATGATTTTATAAGCCTCAGTCAGTGACCAGTATGACACAATGTTCTGTGTGTTTGGAGCTGTTACTTTGAGCACTCAAGAAAATCTACCCACATGTGTATATTTAAGCCAAGATGGCAATTTAAAATGTGATAACACTTTTAGAGCAGTTTCACGTATGGATACTTTGTATGAAAGTGAGTGAACTTGTGGCTATCTCCTTCTCCTTTAACTTAAATAATTTTTATAGTGCAAAAGGGCACTTGCCTTTCTATGTCTTTTGAGGCTGAGTTTTGCAGAGCAATTTTCAAAAGCTATTTCTTCTATTAATTCCTGGCCTGGATCAGGAACAG